ATTATTTATTTATTTATTTATTTATTTATTTATTTATTTATTTTAGATCAAACTATAATGATTACACTGGTGAACAGTAAAGATTTATTTTTCTATAAATCTCAAAAATGGGATTGTTACAGCCCATCAGTACATCAAATGTTCACTAAACAAATTAAAATACATAAAAATAAAAATGAAATGCTCAAAACTGTAAAAAAACAAAAAAAACTTCCTTTATTCCCCACTAGAGGGCAGTATAGACCTCAGGTGGTTTATTTTTCTTCTCGGACAGATATGCTTAGAGCCATGAGGTAGGGTTGCTTTGAATAATCATTAAATGACCAGTTTAGTGTTTTTAACTAATTGCGAGTTTAAAGTTATTAATGAAAGTTAAAATATCATCAATATTTTAATTAAATGTAAAAAAAAAAAAAGGCTAAAAGAAGAAGGAGACATATCAGAAAGGCTAAAATGCTGACATTTACTCACACTTTGTACTTTGATGTTTCAGAGTTTCCTTTTATTGGAGTAATCAAATTCTGCCATCTTTTATTACGTTTCACTTTTGAGTGTTCAGGTTAGTGTAAGAAAAAAAACTTACAGTAACCTGAGGACAGGTTCATATATATCTATCTATATATACATCAATCATACAATCATCATAAGAATATGTTGAATTCACTGCCAAAAGCCAACGGAAAATCTCATGATTCATGAGGTTAATGAGGTGAAATAATTACCATAACTCAGTATACAGTTAGTGTCATTGTTGGGTCTTACAGAATGAAAAATAACACTTTAAAAATAATGGTTCTTGAAATAAAATGGCCAAGAATGTGGGAATTTCGTCATCTAAACAGCATCATTAAACGATTCAGTAAATCTCTGCGTAAAGAAGAACAAAAAACAATACTGATCTTAAACATGATGCTGAAGTGGAAATCCCATCTTAGTATTATTCAGAAAGTCACAGTCAGTAAACTTTTTTTGCTGCATCCACAAATGTGAGGTGAAATTCCACCATACAGAGACATAGAGGCATACATGAACATGATCCAGAAACTCTGAGCTCTCCTCTGGACTGACCTCATATAAGATGGACTGAGGCAAAGTGTAAACTCTTTGGTCTCTCTTTGCTGATATTGTGTTTGAAAACCATGGACTTTGTGTCCTTGCTGTTGGAGAGTAGAGGAATCATTTGGCTTGTTATCAGAGCACGGTTAAAGGCAGTACCCGTGATAGTATGGGGCACATCAACGCACACTGGATGTATAAACTGCCTCTGTGAAGGCCTTGATTGTTTTCAGTGAGGCCATGCAATCAGTCACAATCCCTCATCTACCCATTGAAAACATCTGGTCCACTATGAAGCAAAAATATGACAGAAGGAGTCAAGCAGCTGAAACCCTCGAAATCCTTTATCAGGCACGAATGAGCAACATTTGCTTTATGTCACTTGTCTCCTCAGCTCTTCCACCTGCTGCCTTTAGGGGTCACCATAGCAGATCATCTGCTTCCACCTCACCCTATCCCCAGCAACCTGCCTGTCGGCTTGATCTGCTACATACTTTCCACATGCCCAGACCATTTTGAGCTTTCCTTTGAACTCTATCTCTAGCTGAGCCGTTCTAATGTACTCATTTCTAATCCCAATCTTCCCGGTCATTTTTAGAACTCAATACAATTGATCAGTTTCAACATCTAACATGTTGTCTATTGTGTTTTCAAACCAATACTATCACACTTTTTTTTACTTGATGCCTGCCTTTAGAAATGAGATTCTAGATTAATGACAGATGAGGTAGAGTTCAATTTTTCTTTGTCTAGTATCAAAGTTACTTATTTATCCTAATGTATGAGCTAAATTGGAAGCTGGTTATCAAGAGGTTAACATAAAAGCATATATAAAATATAAACAATAATAAGTAGGAAGTAGTACTTACTACTGAAACACACGGACACAGAAAATATAAACAATGCAGAATTTATATTTGTGATCATAAGAGGGGTAAAAAATAAATTGTGCAATCGTCAGTTAAAAACAGAATATAAAACCTATAAGAAAAGAAAAACTCAACTACTTGACACAATGCTGAGATTCCTTCATATCTATGTCCTGTAGTGACTGTCAGAGGTGCAGCAGAACACTGAGATTGCAAAAAAACAGCAACAGAAAAACTAGAGTATCTCTGTGAGTGGCACTCGTGAGTGCCCGCCTAACTTTATTAGACAATGGATGGAGACACACTCATAACGCTGTGCTGCTGCACAAAGTCCACGCTTGTTTGGGTGCCAAGAAAGCGCCTAAACATTTATTTCAATCACAGTGAAAGTAATGGAGATGTGTACAACCATGGAGTGAAGACTTTTTGAAAAAGTGAGGACCTTCTGGATGTGACCCCCGTCTGCTCCTCCTTTCTTTCACACCTTTTAGAAAGAAGAAAGAAACAGAAGGTGTGTGAGTGTCAAGATTCAGTTTTATGGGTGTTGGTCAGAAACAGCTTTAGGCTATTCACTTAGTTAAGTCTGTAGTGAGGACCTAGAGAAACCATCATGTCAATAAATGTCCTCAGAAACAGACTGTATGAACATGTGTGTGTGTGTGTGTGTGTGTGTGTGTGTGTGTGTGTGTGTGTGTGTGTGTGTGTGTGTGTG